ACCTCCCCCCCTTTCCCCTGCCCGCCGTGACATGCGCTTTGAATCTGGCGTGTAAAGGCAGTTTGCTGCAGGGCTCCTAGACGGTGTTTGGATGGGTCTCAGGTAGCTCTGACGGACCCGGAAGTTTAATTACGCGAAGACGTGACAGCCTTCTGGCGAGAAACCAGGGAGAGATACAACCGTGTCTGACGTGCCTTCGGTTCATCCTTGACCATTTCGTTCCGTACACGTTTGACTTTACGTAACGCGCAATAAGCGCTGCCGAGGAGGAGGGTGAGAGGGGAGGGAGAGATCTTCGACTCGGGTGACCGGGCAACAATATTTGCTTTTCGGCAAAATTGAAATCCTGCAGCTTCTCCTCGCCTCGCAGTCGGCGCACAGATACACGCGTAGACGGAATATAAAGCGCCCCTTTCTCGAGCGGGGGCGAAATCCCCCACCCCGTCGTCGTATCCGCCAAAATAGAGTTTCGTTTTCCAAATGGACTTTTTGATACGACGCGTACGAGAGGAGCTAAAACTGAAAACGTACGAACGAAAATATTGCCGGCGATTTAATCGGGGGTTTCGCATGCGGCGCAACGATTTGGCTTCCGCGCGGCGCCCCGCGGAGAATTATACGCCGGAGTCGCGCGTGATTTTTTACATAAATCTGCCGCGCGGAGCAATGAATCGGTCGTTTGTGAAACTGCCGTTACAACTGCCTAAAAATTTATTTATACAGCGCGGCGGTGTACATTCGACATTAATATCGGAAATAGATTTGCATATCGTAAATTTCGTTTGGCGGGGCCGCGTAACAAAATAATAAATTTCACCTCGCAATTACAATTGCATATTATTTTATCGAATATTCACGCACGTGGCGACGCGCGTGGAGATGCATCGGGCGTATAGCATCGGCGCGGCGAAACATGGCGACTCGGAGCGAATCTTTTCAGTCTTTGCGCCGCGCGAGCGCGTGTCCATTCGCGTCCACTCGCACCATTGAAAATTCCAGCCGTGTACCTTTCAAGAGGCTGTCGCGTCGCGACGGTGAGGAGAGCGCCGTCGTTTCGGATCGGGGCAAGAGGGATAAAACGGTACGCGGGTGCGGATAAAAAACCTCCCCCGAGGATGTAGCGGCCGACAAATAACGTGCGTATTCGATACACGTAGAAATGTTGCGATAATAAAAAAAGAGGAGGTACAACTTGGCACGCGCGGGCGCGAGGTGAGTTTTTCTCGCGCCACTGATTTCTCTCCTCTCCGGTCCAGCACGGACAACTTGTCCCTACGTGAATCTAATACGCCGCGATCCACCGGAGGTCTCACGCGGATAGATAAAAATAAGCGCCCGGACGCGGTCGCGATTTAATATCGCGCGGCGCTTTATCCCGGGCGCCCGGTGCACGCCTCCCAGGAGAGTTTTATCGTAACGACGATGCATCACGGCTACATGCACGCGGCGGGATGGAAAGTACGGGGGTCGTTAATTTAACCGACCGATTGTATTCGTACGTAAATCCGCTTTGCGCGAAGATAATAGATCGACGGGGCATAGTTGGTCAAGGATTTCGCGCGAGCCCGCGCGTAAATAATGCGGCCCGTACACCGAAAATGATTTAATCAGCCTCGTCCGGCGATCGTGCGGGGTATCGATGACGTTAACGGTCGGCGCGAACATGGGAGATGAATTGAGATTATAATATCCGAACATTGGAACGCCATTCCTCTCACTCAGCTGACGGCTATTGTCTTTCGCAATAATACGATGTCGGCTGTCGGCCGCACGCCGTTTAGACGTCGCGCGTTTAAAAGATCCCGGGGGCCAAGGGTCATTAGGCACGGGGAAGGCGTGACCTTCGTATCTCGGGAACGTTGAGCGAATACTGATCGCGTAGCCGCACTCGATGCAGCGGGACGTACATGCATCCGTTCTGCGTTAGCGAGCCGTCACGATGCGCCAGGATAATGTCCGGATTCGTATTCCCACTTGGTTCCCGGATCATGCGGCTCCATCTGCCATTATCGGCAAATCCGCCTATCGAAAACGTGATAGCCGACTTTCGCACAATGTAAATCAAACCGGCACGGCGCGCACAATGCATCTATAAATGCTTTCGCTTTCTTGTTACGGGGACATGAGATATAGAGCCGTAAAAGTCAATCGAGTGAGCTTGAGCCCGCGGAAAAGGAATTGCTGCCGCTGACCGTAGAACCGGTGCGTGCTTCTCCGCCGTTCTTAATAGTAGAACGTTATGATAAAGAAAGAATTTTGCACAAGTTCAAAGATCGTAGCGAGAAGCAATTTACTAGCTCTACGTGACTGAAATGCGGCGTACGAAACCTTCGTGGAGGATCCCCGAGACCGAGGTCGCGTGGCAAGTTTCGCGACGTAAGAAAATCGTCTCGGTTGAGTCCAAAGTTGTTATTCGTGTAACGTTTTTTTTCTTCTTCCCTCCGGTTAAATGACGGAGCAACCCACGACGTGACAATTGCAAAATTCAAAATTTCTATTCTTAGCCGCGCAGCCCTTACGTTGACATTTCGTGGTGGCGGAGGCATAAGGGTTATTTCAATTGCGGCGCGCTTAAACCGCCGGCAATTACCGTTAAAATTACACGATACTTACCGAGGCACCGAAATTCTGCATTGCGGCGGGCTCCATTATTTCCAGGCGTTGCCGACTACAGAGTGCGAGTGTTAGTACGCGCTCATTGTGAGCCGAACATAATGCCAGCGACTCTTCAAAACCACCTGCGCGCGCGGCTCGGTAGATTTGCTCAGGTGTGCGCCGGCTATGCGCGTTGCTGCATTCGCTCGCGCAAAATGAAAAGAATCGCGCACGATTATTTATTTCGGTCGTTTCTCTGGCGACGACGCGCGCGCGTAAATTTATTGCTAAAACGAAAAAAATTATTCAAATGATGCACGTCGAACGCAATTCGTTAAAATTGGAATTTGCGCGGCGTGGAGATAAATGCAATTTTACATGATTCTCTCAATTTAAGCAAATGCACCGCGTTAACGATACTAAACAAATGACCTTTTCGGCGAACGTACATCCGTAACCGCGGATATTGCAATTGCAATAACAAATACACATTACGCACTTGATGAAAATTATGGCCGCGCTATCATGTTAGTTCCGGCTAAAGTTTGTCGACCTATTCTTGCCAAGCTTGTGGGAGGAAGGGCGATCTGTAAATTTGCCGTAGCCTGGTCGACGAGACCGCAATTTTGGCCGGACGACCATAATTAAACGGGGGGAAAACTGGATAATTGATTAGGTATAGGTAGTCTGGAATCGCCAATATCGTCGGATACCAGCACATAAATCAAACATACACGTGGGTATATGTATATAAACATACACTTTATTATGATAATTTATAATTGCTGTATTATTCACAATGAGTATGAGTAATAACGTATCGTAATTAGATATACAAACTGGTCTATCGAGTAGTAACCTAGACTAATCAAATTGCGGCTAATCATACACGGCCCCACGTTCAATTTCTGATACCGAACTTCCGTACTTGAATACCGCGAATTATCCAATTTTGTATCCTCTTTGTCTTGAAACGTTCCTGTTTACGTCCGTCTTGTTAAACGGATCGATAATGCTAATCGTTTTGTCGCGAAACATTCCGCCCGTTAATTCCGTTGGTCGGATGATAACGCTAATTGGCTGTTGGATTTGTCGATCGGCCAAACGTCCTGATAAGAAAAAGATCGCTACGATAAAAACAAAATGTATTCGTAATAGGTGTCGAATTATATTCGCTAACATTTACATGGAAAGTACGGGGCTCAATTCCTGCAGCTATATGAATTGCAAATTATTTTTAACCGCCGGATCTTCTCGACGTTTAATTACCATTACATAATATCACAAAATTGTCATCGCTAATATAGCAGAATAGACGTATCTGTCACGGGTAATGTAATTTTTATACATGTAAACTACGTTATCTCATTGAATTCATAATGAAATGCGGTGGTGCTAAATGCTTATTTTCCGTTAAAATTGGAGAAATGCCTAAGGCTTAAACGTACGAAAAATAGAATACTCAGCTCACTCCCATACCTTGTATTAAATGTATTAGCCTTCAAATATTTTATTTCTTACCTTAGCTAATGAGCAACTCTCCTACGACCTCTTATTTTAGTAGCTTCATCCGTACGGTGCCTACGAGGAAAAAGCTCGATTCCTCATTTCTTAGATGTAATGTATTATGCTTGCGCAAAACTTATGCAACTCTGATTGACGCTGGCCGATTAACGTATAATTTATGTTCATATTTTTAACAACTGAATTCTCTCCAATTTAATTTATTCTTGAACTGACTTTGCAGTCTCATTTGCATAAAATATCAAAAATAGTCTACATGTCGTAATTAATATTATTAAATATAAATGAATTAAATGAAGAAATCGATCGGTGTCCTAGGTTTTAATGTTTATTGCATTAAAACAAAATGCTGGAGTCAAGATATTCGAGCTGCGAACAACAAACAAGAGTCGTAGACAGAAAGATATAGTAACTGAAAATGTAACTTCATACATATGCATTGCCATTTCCATATACCATTATAGTTTAGATCTTATTCTCGTTTCGTTGCATTTTTTCCCACTATCCGCAGCGTTCTGCAAAGTACCACAGGCCGTTGTAACCGGATGGCCAAAATTTATTTACTCGAGTTCGTTATAACGATATTACATGACAGTAATTTTTATAGTAGAGAAGTTTAATAAGCATCGACAAAATTTTCGATGTAACATTTCTTTTCTGTATACAGGTATATACATTGGTCTTCTATTAAGTTTTGGCAATGTTCTGCAAGTATTCGTAAAGGGACACGCAAATCATTAAAATCCATCGCACGCGTTACACATACATATTAACAGATTGTATTTTATTAATTTTGCCGGGCTGTTATATGATGAATCGCAGAAGAATTGTTTCAATTTTATTAACTATTTCAAATATATGTTCCCAAGAATATTTCAGGCAATTTAAATAATTCGTCAGCCATTGTAATATTACAGTCAATAAACTAATATTATTTTAATATTAAAGTCTAACCCGCGTGAAATACTGACTTCTCTCTCTTTTACAACGAATTGATAAACGTTGAAGAGGAAAAACTGCCATGAGAATCTTCTTTACGAGATACTTGCAATCGAATATTGCCATACCAAGCTCATCGAAGAATGTGTTTGTTTAAAATTATTTGTTTCTTTAATTTTCAATACAAAAGCCATACCACACGCCACAAATTAGCGGCACATTCATTACCCTAGTATTGGCACCGTGTATTTACGTGCGTAAAATTGCGTATCTACGAGAGAGGAACGCAAAGTACGATCCGAGAAAGAGCCTCAAAAGCATACGTATTCTCGTCTTATGCACTGTGCTATTGTCATTATTATCCAAGAGACGAAATTTAACGGCATGATTTTCTTTTTCCTGCACAGCACTTCCATCCTCTGTGTACAAATGACAAGAAAAAGAACAATGTAAATTTCAATGAATGTCTAGATGCGTAAATGTGTACGCGTGTGCACATATTCGTTGATGTAACGAAAATTATGAATGTTCGCAGACTCGCGAGAAGATGGATTAATTTTTAGTATTACGATATCCACTCGTATCTCAAGTATTTCTGAGACGACTATAGTTTTGCTAAATTGCCCACCTTTTTGTCGAGATTATTTTTCACGAATGCAATCCTCTATTTTATTACGATTTCATTACGAGATCGTTCGCTCGAAACACTTTGTATTTTTGTTGTTACACGTACAATGGCAACTTTATCGTTTCATCGAAACGAATATCGTAAAAACGTTGAAAGCACACACGAGAAACAGCAAATATTTATAGAAACACGTCATGCTACACGTAATTACATTACCAATTACAATTATCGCGTTTCAAAAGTGTAGGTGGACGCGCGCTTGAACGCATACGGCTTTTTATGTCATATCTGATTATGTGTTTAATCAATACGCGAGAAACTGTATAATCGTTCGACGCGCACAGTTAATCGCTCGAATCTCCCTTGGTCCTCTCTCGTTTAAGTATTCTTATGATAAATTGAAAAGTGGCAAAATAATTTTCAAGGAATTTAACTCTAGCATTCAATTCTCACCATTAGCGCAACATTGTCATTTGTCCTGGCGCGAATGATCTCAAAACGTTTCGTTCCAAACGCTCGAAGCCAAAATCTACGGAGTAGGCATCTGTTTCTTTTTATTATTTTCGCTTATTAGCAACTTTGTTCTCGAAGAGATCGCGACTCGCATCGTCGCTGTCCGATCGACAGGATAAACAGGATGCCACGAAGAAGGCGAGGGCACACATATAAACGATAACGGTATATGCGTACCTGCTTCCATTTCGTTATCGTGATTAATCCGCGACAGGGTTGGGACCTGCGGTCCCAGAGATAGCACACAAACACGGCATACGAAAAATATTCAGGCATTCCACTATAATAGGACTCTCTTCGTCGCTGACGATCGTCGGACGAGGCTGCTACGCGGTCGGAATTTATCGCGCTCCCTCTCTTCATCTCCCACGGCCGGTTTTCAGCTGGCGAACGAGTAGGAGGTAGATCCGATCCCCGATCGGGCCGGACTAAAGCGTCTCCAGAAAATTCTGCACGAGCAGGGTGGGCGCGGTCACGCGCGCCTTCCCTTTTCTCGGCTGTCTGCAGGCGCGCACGTTGCAACGCGGCGCCCGCTGCAGCTGTTCCGACTTGTTGCTGTCTTGTTCGAGCTGCACCGACACGCTGGCCACGCGCGGCCTCGAACATCCGTTCTCCTACAACAGACAATTGCCGATGCTCCAGCGAAATTTGCGACCTCTCCGTCATTTACGCGGCGCGACGGGTAAACCGCTGAGAGGGCATTGTGGTGTACAGATTTGCGGCATTACTGGGCATAACTAGGCATTTTTCGGGCATTATAACGATAAAACCAGATAACATAAGATAATAAGACAATGCCCACTGGGCATCTTTTCATTTTGGTCAGCGGTTTACCCCTTGACGCGGTGCATACGGGGCGGTAACCTCCGGCAGCTCGCTCTACGATTGTAACGAATGCTTCCCGACGTACGAAATTAAATGATATCAAATATTATTACGTAGCTACAAAAGTTAAGTACGCTACGATAATACAGCGCATTAGTTAATTAATACCATCGCCTTTAAACTGCGCCGAGAATATTAACGCTGAATATCAGTTGAAACGCAGAAGTCTATAGTCGAGCTGAATGTAATTTCAAAATTATGTAGCTTTGGCAAATTTTACTCACTGCGCACGTCATGCTTTCAGCCACGACTGACATTAGTTTTGCGCGTACGTCTCGCACAAATATTTTAAATTCTATCATGCCACTATGATTTATAGTTGGTTTTGATGTATGATTTGTGTAACGATCAAATTTTGAAAGTATATGCATGTGTCTATTTGCACGGCGCCCCTTTGGCACGCGTAAGTTCAACAAAGAAGGCAAAAGGCTGCATTTTTCCCCTTCGCGTGACTTGACGGAAAAATATTCAGTTATTTCTGAAGCTGCCTCACAAATGCTCTAGCAAATGGGCAGCTTCACGATTATTATCAGTGTGCACGTGATAATCACGAAAGCGACTTAATCCGGACAAAATGGTAAGAGGATAATGTGTGGCTAAATGTGCAAGTACTTAAATCTTTAATGAGTGAAACAAGTTGTGTTCGAGAAACTTAAGTTGAAATGAGACCGGAATGATGAAAGGCAGAGGGAAAGAGACTAAACAGAACTGTATCCATTTAATTAGAATTATGACGACGTGACAAAAGAATTTTACTCCGAACCTGCGAATGTAGGAACTGAAGAAAGCAGCAGCGGGAAAAATCAGAATCGCATGTCATAGCGTGCCAGTAATAACTTTTAAGATTATCCACCTTGATAAACAGACAAAGGCTCGTTGCACGAAGATAACCGATGGCAGCAAGAGAAACGGCGAACTAAATCCGCAAAACTTTGCCACTATACACGCGATGCTCGTATGGCCGAAACTACTAACCGATATACAGAGATTCCGTTGATGTTGATGAGTCCTTTGACGAGACTCGCTTTGTAACTGCCACGCACGAATATACAAATCCCCGCGATAGATGAAGCCTCCCCGTTTCGCTCGTAACATTAAATGCCACCTGAAACAAAGAGGAAAATAAAATTCCGCATTGTTAGCACGCCACATAACTCATATTCGTTTGCTTTCATGGTCTGCATAAAATTATGTTGCACAGCGAGCTGTGGAATACTTTCGTGGGCAAAAGCGTGCGTTCTTTTCTGAGGGATTCGTCTCCCGTGTATATAGCAGAAGTAATCAATAATTGCCGGAGAGAAGAAAGATTTATTCCCTCCTTAAATTAAGTCTCTCTTTCTCTCTCTCTCTCTCTCTCTCTCTCTCTCTCTCTCTCTCTCTCTCTCTCTCTCTCTCTCTCTCTCCTAGATTTTCTCTCTTATCAAATCCGCTGAATTTATCGTCAATTAAACTGAGCAAAGCGTCCATCCATAGGCACGAAACTGCGTAGCCAAGGAGAGAAAAATGGAAAATCTAAGAGTCAGCTTAGTCGTGCTCGCTTGATGATAACTTATGTTTCTTTCAATTTATAATGGGACAAAGATTTGTCCCATGCATCCCATCTTTCAAAAAATTAGTGAATACTTAATGCATGCGCAGAAGAAGATCTATATTAGACGTTATAAATGTGTTTACTGTATTAAAAAACTAAACTAATCAGGTACATACGTGTCGGTATTTCCAAAAATTATAGTCTTTAAGAGCAAAAATTATACTCTTAAAGACTATAATTTTTTTAAATCCTTAAAATTTTATACGTTTTATGCTGCCTTTTATAACCAATTGTGTGTATTTTTAAATACGAGAAAGTGTTCATGTCTAGCTCCATCTAGTGTGAAAATGGATACACAACAGAGATACACATATATATGTATATATACATTGTGTGTGTATATATATATTCTGTTATTGTACCAGAGGTACGTGAATTCTCTCTCTCTCCCCCCCCCCTCCCTACATATTTTAGATTCCACGGTATCCGTTCTCGTACTGATGTAGTGCCGATATCATTATTCAACCGCTCGCACCCTCCATAAAATAAATTCGTAAGTGACATACCCTTTTTTACGCGTCACTTGCGCTCTAAGTTCCTTCGTGATCTTCCCACTCACGCCTGAGCGTGATATTTACGAGGCGTAAAAGAGGGAAAGTTGATAGACGAAAATGATACAAAGGTTCGCGATCTTATATCCATATATTTGACTCGTAAATTCGGCTACGGTATTTTACACTCGGCGACTACCAGAGAACTCTACGTTATACTGGAATACCTAGTACGCGTTGAGAAAATCGGCAGAGTGCCATTTCTGTATCCTCTCTTGCTAGTGTTTAGTCGATCAACGATTTTAATCGACGGATGAGACTTAAGCCAACGGCACACGATTATGCTGTTTTTCCTTCTAGATTGCTTGCGAGAACTTGTAAGGACGCAGAGCTTTAGATCAGGTGACTTAAGGCTAAATCCCGATTGGCTCTCGTAAGCAATCCAGTAGGAAAAATAGTATCGTGTGCCGTTGATTTTACATATTTAAAAGGAGATAGAAAAATGTTGAGCAACTAAATTATTTAAGAAAGAGAGAAATAGTATCACTTGTCTATCTCACTCTGGCTATTTTCTCCCATTTGACTAGGTATTCTAGTATTATACAGAGTTCACTGGTGGCGACTTTCACGGCAGTGTAAGATACAAAATATTTAGTGCAATATATTAGTTTTGCTCCATTTTGTTCTCTTTCTCTCGAGACGTTAATTTTTTTATTATGAACGCTCACTGAAAGGATAATTCCTGCATTAACTAGTCAAGCTGCAACTCGTTTCGAATCGCAGTCATCGATCTAACGAATCTACGTGAAAGGGCGCGTATGAGATCTGTGTATTTTTTGTGTGGCAAAATCCGGCCGTGCTGCGAATAGTAACGGATTATCACTTATGTAACGCAGAAAACTGTAGCTTGAATGCGCCGTGCGTCATAAGCATAATATCGCATAATTGCAACTCAATAGCTTTCTCTCGCACGCGAATGAATCTTGTGTGATGTCAAAGTGAACGCTATATTGTCCCGGCTGCACATTCAGTCACCCGAATAATTCTGATCGTTATCAAGGCCGTAACATTTACGCGGACGCAGTTAGAGCAGATTCGAAGCATTGACAATACCAGCGTTTTCGTACCGGTTAATCGAACGCGTGTCTATGTATATCGAATAGCTTCACCCCTCATCCAGTATCAATGCCGATATCGACCCGCGCCAGCGACAACGTTGACGTCCGGCTGGTCCGAACCGACTGTAATCGCAACGTGACTTAGCAATCTCACGTGTCTCCGAGCACATCGGGTCAGTTTGAAATCGCTTGTGATCGATCGTATGTCCCTACTGGGAGATAGTCATGTTGCTGCAACATGCAGTTACACCGACATGACCAATTCAGTCTAAATAATATCAAGATAAAAGCGATAGTTAAAAAAGTTTATTGAAAAAAATGCACTACGGTATCAGTGTTGGCCTTTTTTTTTCAACGGAAAGCATCGAGATCAGTGCAATTTTGATAAATCCATTTTTTGACGCTGCAGATATCGAAACATACGTTTCTCCCTGTGAGCAAAAATAAATTCGCCGCCGCCGCCGCCGCCGCCGCCGCGCGAATACCACTTATGATTTTACTGGAGGATTTAGAGATTAAAGTTTTGCAAAATTAAAGTTTCGCGGCGAGCATTGTTAAAGCCGACCGCGAGCCCTCTATCTCGGACGGACACATTCGTGTGAAATAAACTCTAACTCAACTGTGGTCGTAACGAAGTGGTAACGCGCGGCTACCGCCGGTCATATCGGCCGTTCGGTGGTTCACCGATAGACCGGATGAAACACGGCGTTCCATGAATTATAAAATCGCTATTTACAGCGGAAGATACAGACCGTGTCGGCTGGGAGTGGTCGCGCGCGGGTTGGAACACCGGGTGTAATATCGCATCCTGCCTCGCGCAAACGATAGCGGCGAAGGTTGATCCAAAATTATTGCGCCGCACGCGCATTTCTTTCTCGCGTTCGAACAGTTGTTACAAGTTGCGTGAGATCGCGACCGCAGCAGGCCGTTCGTCGAGACCATAACGATGCATCGTTGCGGTTCGCGATTGCCGGTAGAATTGACGACATGGACCATCACTTCGACGCGTTTATCATGAGTGTTAGACTTTGGAAAACAAAAACGAGGAAGCATTTGCGCGAATAAACGCGTTGCGTTTTATCGGTCAGACTTGCAGGAATACAGGAAACGTCCGTAAATTGTCGATTTATCAGTTCGTTGAGCGCTTAACGCAACGGCGACGACAGCGCCCGTGGCACATTATCCTGTACGGCGGATTTTCTTTAAATTTATATGTCTGATAGGGAAAAAGGAATGTGAGGAAGCTCGATGAATTTTCGCTGAATTTCCAGCGAGCGATTCGATTAACTTTCACGTGTTAATCTTTATTTCAGATGTTGTTTTAGACGAATCGCCTGCGCGCCGGGACGTATTCATTTTGTTTCAGTAGGAGTTACAATTATGAGATAATTTCGCTGCGCCCAATGAAAGTTTTACGATCTTTGCACGTTAATTAATGAGCCAATAAATATTTATCTCGACGCGCGCGCCGCGCTTCGATGTTCAAATTATTTGAATCGGCATAATTTAATGATAGGCAAATAAGTGAATTTAAACAATGAGACTGTATTTCAAAATTATTTTCATACCGACATATACTTTCGACGCTCGCTGCACGTGACTCTGCATTTTACAGCCATTTACCCAAATAGTTCGAAAATTGGACATTTGTTCAATTCTTTAAATGAAATGGAAACGCACTGGACAGAAAACATATCAAGCGATTTCACATGCGATGATCAAACGATTTCAGCACACTCATGGAGAAAATGTGCTGTGCCTCTAAAACATGACAATAATTGGTGGTATTTTCGGCAGTTATGTATATCCCTCTCTGCTGATTAACAGATATGATTTTAATTGTATTTGCTGCTGTTAATTCGACTATAAAAGGCTATTAATTGCGCATAAAACAAATGATTAATTTATAATTATAAGGTGTTGAATATATCCATTTTCATACATTTATTTACAAGTTGCTGTCAAAACGCTTTTTGCGTGCGAACAAGATGTTTATCTCATTATCAAACCAACATAATGCATAACGTTATAAATTTATTAGCCGTAAAAATAATTAAATACATATCGCGATAGGAATGAATTTAAATACAAATTTCAGTACAAACTTTAATATATATTTATTTTTTTCGCAAAAGTGCATTGTAACCACGAGTGAATACAAACTGACACTGAAAAAAAAAAACGATTATAACCATCCGATCGATCCATTCTTCATATTTTCTATGATGTTCACTCTAAGCACGAACACCCCATGGAGCATAACTCTATTGTTAACGACAATGTAGTGGAAAGACCTTCGTCAATGGCTGAGAAAATTGCGTCCGGAGACTATGAGATTTTATCTCTGTAAGAAACTGTGTGGTCCGTCTCGATGACGTAGCAGGCAAAATCTAGCATATTTCATACGAAATAATACAGTACTTTTCTCAATCATCTTGTTGCCATGAATCGTATAAAAATTATGCAGTTTCCATTATATCTTGCATATCTTATTGCATAAAATCAATTTTAACCTAACGTTTGCAGGTAATTTCATTAAACTCGAATAAAATGTTACGTTTGACATCAATAAAAAAGGCTCATGATATCTGAGAAATCTTTTACACGGTGTAATTTTATTGCGAAAAAAGTTAAATATTCTTTCTGGTACGGGCGTATCTGTGTGATCACCTATCCGAGTACGTTTAAAAATTTTACAGGACCTGCATAAAGTTTTTCATGAAAATTATATTTTCATTTCTTTTTACTTCAGAAGAAGAGAGAGAGAGAGAGAGAGAGAGAGAGAGAGAGAGAGAGAGAGAGAACAACTTTCCCAAAATGGTATCGTAATATGTCACACGTTCAGTCGGTGGTTTCCTTGACAATGTCAATATCATATTGTACGTCCATAAAAGCGGACGCAGACGAGATATTCGATATCGAGCTACGTGCCGATCGCGACACTTAATTACTTCAGATCGGAAACGGCGTGTCCCGGAGCGAGGCACAAATGAAACCGTGACCCAATCAACGAAAACCGCAGGCGATTTATGAGAAATTAATCCGACCATCGCGTACGGAATGGAAATATTGGGAGCTCGCCTCGGCTTGGCTTTAAATAAATGAAACGTGAAGCGCCCTCGCGCCATAAAAAGTTCGCGGCACGTTTCCCGTTGACGGCGATGCCATTCGAAATAATATAATTAAACAAGGTCACACCACTACCGTTCGCGGGCGTCGGGTTGAACAATACCCTTCAAACTCTGTCTCACGCGTTTATTGACGGACAAGAATACTCCGAACAATATAATTCTCTTGCACCCGGCGGATTTGTACGCTATTGAATGCGCCATCGGGTAACAAACGTGAATTTCATGTTTCTCTTATGTTAGTGCACATTTCACGTATTCGTTGCGAATAATACCTAAGCTGAAGGCACGCGTAAAGTGCACGGTGAATTAATCAATAGCGTGTTAGAATGTCATAAATTTATAACAATTGTGCATATGCATTTACAAGTAGAAATATAAATAGAACGCATGTTGTTCGTCTCTAAAAAATGTAAAGCTGTTAATTAAACGTAATACGATTCTATCCTTGTACGAAGAGGTTGTTGAAATTGAAAGTACGTTATTTGCTTGGCATTCACAAGCCTACGTGTGAAAAATCTAGCTCATTGTGCAAAATTTAAATAAGTACAACAGGTAGCAGTGCAATTAACTGTTATTGTTATTGCACATTTATCTGGATCTCGCATAAAGTGGACAGTCTAAAGTCTCTTTGTATTTTCCTTCAGCCACTATATGTACACGAATATATACTTTACCCCACCAATCCGTTGCGGACTGCGGAGAGATTTATATTTGCATTTAAAATCTGAGCGATGCGCCACATCTGTCAAACGATGCATATTGAAATTTCGCGTGTGGTAGCGACACAGAGAGGAAAAGAGAGAGTGAGAGAGAGAGAATGGTTCGCTGCTCGACCGCCTGTCCGGCGGCGCCTCTCCGAGCGTTGTTTCTCCAAAATTTAACCCCCTTTCGCCCCGTTGCTCCTACATCCCCCGGGCCACGCCTACGTGCCTATCTCTGGCTCTGCAAAATTCGTATACGTTCGGACGACGATTCGCCACCGCGGCTCTTCGTTGTTGGCAAGCCCGTCGAAACAGGGAGTGTGTGGGTGTGTGTGTGTGAGAAAGAGAGAGAGAACCAACTACAAAAACAGCGCGAATCGTCGCTGGCAAATTTACCGTGCGTGTTTTATAGGCGCTATTTGCACACACAGCGGGACGCGGGAGGATTACAGTGCGAGGGTAGGAAAAATGGGCGGCGGGGTGACGGCAGTCGCAGCGAAAACACGGGGACCAGCCGCTTGCGCGCCCCGTTATCGTATAATCTACATGTATACGTAGATGTGTCGCGTACGTAAACGGCCGATGGCGAACTCGGCCGTCGAGACAGAACGATCGCATCAACTCGCGAGACAGTATCGAATCTGTTTTCATTTTTCCCCCTTTTTTTTTCTAAATTTTTTTTAAATTTTATTCTCCTCGATATATTTCGCGCGAGATACGAAAATCGTGTGGAATTTTTAATCAACCCGCGCGGAACGAAGATCGAGTCCGGAGAGATCGCCGGAAAAAATTGAATTCGTCCATTGATTGCGAATTGACGTGCGCGCTAACGTACCGAGTACTTGCCGCGCGAATAAGCCCGCCGCTCGATTCGCAACGCTGTAAAGCCCATCTGAAATTGAAAGGATTTCCGCGCGACGGAGCCACGCTTCGCCGCATGCACGGAATTCGTAACACGCGGAAGAGCCCGTGTTTGTACACGATCTCACGCCGGCGCCGAGGAAATTACGAATTCGGACATTACGTCGCGCAATCCGAAGTGCGGCGATATTCTCCGGAATGTAGATTTGATGCTATTTTAAGTAATCCGGGGAAATGGGTTTGATGCGACTCTTCCGCTCGTTCCGACGTTTTTTTTTTGCGCGCGCGAATGATCAGACGCATGGAGGAAAACAGCGCGCGACCCTATTCTTATAATGCCTTGGAGAGTATGCTTTTCGGGAAAAGTTTTTCCAACGGCGACTTGTTCGTCAACGCGTACACGCGCACGTGGAATGCTCACCTGATGATGAGCTGGTGTACTCTGGACCACTGACCTCGCGACCTCAAAATCCTGAGCGTACCAATGAGCGACGGCTTGTGCGACGGAAAGATCTCCATTGCTTTGAAATAGTACCGGAGCGAGGGCAACCATTTGCCTGAAAGAGACGAAGCAAGTTTGCCGCAAGTGCAAATTTAGGGTTGCGATCATGCGAACTGCCTCGTAACTGGCAACTCCGACAAGATTGTGTTCTACTTTCGTCGACAAGTAGTGCTTCTCCCGCCCGAGATTTGAAGGTCTTCCACCTGCTACTCCGAGTTTATTTCATTTAACAACTCACCGTTCTTGTACAACCAGTAAGCATACTCAGCGAGAGCGTCCGGGTTCCGTGGCTGAAGGTGAATTACGTGCCTCAGCAGCTCGCCTGTTGCAGGACCGGTAGCGATTCTCGCCAGGACTCTAAACGCCGGCGCGTATGCCGGGTCCAGCGACACGCATCTTCTTAGCATCTCGATGCACCGTTCAGTTCGGTTTGTTCTTCTAAAAGCAAAAGTTTACAAACGTAAAGTACTTAATATTAGACTAGCACTATGGCATTACAAAAAATTATGTTTAATATGGCAACTTTCAGTACATATTAATTAACCAATTTGATTTACATTCATAAGAAATTTATGACTGTCTTCTATGTAGAACCAAAGTACAATATATTTGAACAAACTGCATTTCTAGCGTATTAGATACACGAACGGTGGTTAAAACGTGAAATATAATAAAGGAGTGAGATAAAATGCAATATAACTGAAAGATTATCATTTATTATTCTCAACTAGTGACGAGCAATTTGATTTTAATTAGCGTCAATTATAAATTCCATACATATCGTTCAAGTAATATTATTTAATCACTCAATACCGACCGTATGTCAATACGTTTCACTCATAATATGGATATTTATTTCTTGCTTGGATTGCTTTATCGTTCGATAACGAAAAATACTTAAAAGTAGAGCGACAGGCTGAAAAAGGCCCAACGTTGGAAAGACCAACGGACAAGGTACGCGGTAAATTTGGCGTTCCCCGTGCAAATTGAACGGCAATTTCGCGAACGCGTCCGGTTGAATTATAGTCGTGCGCTTTCACGTAATCGACTTTACGCCCGACAAAAGACTCGGTAATTGTCAGAGAATGGCGACGCCAATAATGCCGATCGACAATGCCGTTTTTACTGTTTACGCCCGTAGCTTGAGCGATGCTTTTTACCAATATCGCTCTATCGGCGTTTCAGTCTGACGGAAAGGGAAAATATTAATCGATGAAAGAGCACTGTAGACGCACGTTTATACGTAGAATACATCTTGGATCCATTCAAAATAGACTCGTATCCTGCCTGAGGTTATATTTTTCGCAATAAACTTGCAATAAAATTATTTGGACCGTAACACCTTGTCACGGCTCTTAACTCTCTTACTTCTTCGAATTTTCGCTTAACACATCAGAGGTACCCCTGTGAAGTTAGCCCCCCCCCCCATTATTTAAAATTTTAACTTTTCTTACGAGTTCCCTATAGATTTACAATAGTTCCAGAGTTCTTGATGGGTTTAAGAAATTGCCCATTAAAGACGTTAAAATGAATTTTTTTTTAAATGGGGGCTAACTGCACGCAGCCCCCCATTTTCGTAAAAACTAATTTTTTAATGGAGTTCTGGATAGATTTCGCATAGTTCTAGAGTTCTTGATACATTTTAACAATAGTTCTGCACGAGAAAGTAAAAAAAAACCAAGTTGAAGAATCAAGAAACAACCCCAGAAATAGAAAAATTTTTTCGGGTCTTATAAGACAGAAACTGACACCTAAAATCGCCCATAACTTATTTGAAAGATAAAAATTAAAAAATAAAACGAAACTTGGACATTTTAAAGAGTAGCAAAGTTTTATATATTTGTCTGCGTTTTCTTATAAATAACGTGAATACATTTGCGATGATAATGCGCATCTCTATAATCAAAACGGAAATAGAGCAAGAACGCGTGCCTCGTAGTTTACACGTATTATGCATATAGTCACCTCATCTCAAAGAGAGTCACCTTATTATAGTGCACTTCGTATATGCGCGATTTCTCATGCATAACATATGTACATATACATATGTATATGCAGCATTACATTCCACGCATTTCAGCTATTGTATAATTCATTCAATACGCAAATACATTAATGTATACATTATGTAAAATCAATTATATATTACACAAATACATTACGTTGAAAATTATAATAAAAACGGGCTAAGCTAAAACGTATCATTGTTTCTCGTATGTAATAATAATATTATTACACAAATGTTACGCTGATACGCTATGCTTATATAAGATTGACGTGGAAAACCATTGCACTAAATAGTTAATGATTATAACCGAGTATGGAATTAAATGATATATTAAATTAAACATTACAGAGAATAAAATAGGTATCTCTTTATTAAAAGTTTTTTTGTGCTACATATGATGTTTTTTATCAAAAGAGATCCCTTGATAGGAAGAAAAATAATTTTTGTTTTTACAATTTCTGTTGTTTGTGTAACCAGAAAAAAAGGAAATATATTATAAACAAGAGGTATAAATAAAAGTAAATGGGAAACTAAAACATTTAATTAGTTGTATAAATATTTCATCGGATATATTGGCTGATTTCAAATATCATTCCTCAGCAGAAAGAGAAAGAGAAATAAATGAGATCCCATGTTTTCACGAGTCACGCACAATAAACGGAAAATTGTTGCGTGTGTGTCCCATTTCTGCCCTTAATTAAATTTTAATTTATCAAGTAGGAAGACGTTAATTAAACTTTAATTTTAACCATGCCACCGGAATTACAGCCCATGCTAAATTTACCGTCGGAAACGCGGCTCGCGCTGGATCGATAACCCGTTGATACAACGGTGGACTAGGAGATAGAGAGAGAGAGAGATACTTTTATTACGTAGAAACGATCACCGGCTCCTAATAATTAATTGACAATAATGTAATTCAGCGAATTATACCGACGGCTAGACCAATTGATTAATCATATTAGTAATTGATAATCTAGTGTCATTCATCTCGGAGAGAAAGTGTTTATCATTCACTGACCTGTACAATCGTCCGAGGTTATAATGAGCATTTACGTGACCAGGTTGAGCATTAATAGCTGCTAGAAAATGGTATTCCGCTTGATCGTCTATCGTGAGAGTTCCAAGATTATTATGTGCACTGGCGTACCCCGGCCAAAGCCTGCAACAAACAAGATTATTCTTTGACGATATTTAATCCCTTGTTGGTTACACATTTTCACATTGTATGATTAATCCTCGTGGAATACCACGTGTTCCGCAAAAACTTATTAATATTTCCCGAAAATCATTTTACTTTTGCAAAAATCTGACAGCTGCATAATTCTTAATTTACTTACTTTGTCATATCGTATGTGACAATTATAATAATAGTAATTATTATTCCGATATTTTAAACCTTACTCGAGATTTTATGGCAGCCATGCAAACCGGTGTGGAATTACTTAAATGAATCATAGATCGCGAACAATTGGAGAATCAAGGGGAAAGAATGATAGAAGAAAAGAGTGGGTTGGCTGAAAAAAAAGAACGTGAAAGAAAACAAAAGAATAAATTGAACAGACCGCGCGACGGAGGCTCTACAAGCGAGATAATGGATCGGAATTACCCCTGGCCGAATCCATTAGCCTTTGATGGCGTTCGTCATTCTGGCGGAATAGTATTTCCGGCTACGAATCGTCACCGAATGCAATTTTCAAAATGTTTGCTCGAAATCCTATCCGGCAGATAATTAGTCAACACATTCTCGTTTTGACACAATTACTTTAACATATACAATTACATTAGAGGTCTTGTTAATTCATTTTATAAATAGCATAATAATAAGTTTGAATCAAGCTGTTCTTAGCTCTTTCAATTGTATAAAATTGGAAATATTAAAACATTATCTCTACAGAAATGTACCATAGTATATTTAAATATATGGATTCTTGCTCTCGGATTGGTTTCCAATATTTGTCGCTAGAACATATATAACTTGGGTTTTGAACAATATATATATATTCTCGTGTATAAATATACATATATCACGATCGAATAGTGCTCTCGTAAAATATTCTAATAGCAAGACATTAAATGAAATTGATCGCATCGACTAGAGAAAACTAGAAATTGGATATATTACATATTGCGCGCGACTTTGGCTCAATGTCAAGATGTAGCTGTATCGGAAAATATTAGAAATGGAAGATATCTACCAAGCAAGATCCAAGGTTGGATGTTTCGTGGCGGTATAACGGCCCGGCAGGGGTTACTTCCGAGTTACTCAGTAAGGGACCGTCAAGGGCGAAGAAAAATACGGAGATAGGATTCGTGTAAGAGTTACACAGCGGAATGAGAAAAGCGAATAAAAATCCAAGAGGAAATCCAACGCCAGTCTGATAACATGATAAAAACAAGATAACCCAGTCAATTTTATATACATATATCTTTGGCGAGTGTTTACACGTGCATTTGGATAATGGTGATGTAACTCTTGTTGAATAATACGTGATAAAATTGGACAAGATACGTTCAATGAGGAATTGCGTGAAACATCATTTTGCTATTCCTCGAGGTTCCTCGTCGAGATGCATCGTCGACGCTCACGACGAAATGGAAATTTTTCGTCACAAGCTACGACGATCTTGGTTATAGGTAGTTATCAAATTCTCTGGAATTCCTTCCGCCGTCTTAAGATGCAGACATGCCTTGTACCTTGGCTTCTCTGCCTTCGGGAAAGAGGATTGCGTAGAAGGTATGCGTTGCTTCCGTCGAGGATAAGTCACAATCCGTGAAAATACTAAGAGTGTGTCTGGGGAGTGAGAATACAAGGCAATGGAGAACGACGGGGAAGTCTATCCGAGTAGTAGGGAGCTTGCATGCTTTTCTCCAAGAAAATTCGGTCGGGGATCGCGACGGATTCAGAAGTTGCTAGAACTCGGCACGGCTCGGGGAAAAGCATTGTCCTGTCGAATACGACGAGAATTCTTTCGTGAAGAATCGACGGAAGTTGCCGTTTAGCCAAAAGTGAATATCCCCTGAGACGCGTCGGTGCATGATCTAACTTGTTTGAAACTGTTTTAATAGGATCAATTAGGAAATGAGAAGAGCGAAGTATCCGTAACGAAAAGATCGCTCTCGAAGAAATAATCTGCATGTCCTTCGAGCGCGGGTCCCGAATGACACGGTTGCAACGGACCGCAGTCATTATTCTGCGAAAGAGAACTACTGTTCACGCTCGATAACTTTCTTTTAAATTTCAAATTCTGTAAAAATATCTCCGTTTTCTCTTGGCTTAATTTTCTATTTTATTCCTGTTGAAATATGTGTCGAACTTTCTTTTATTTCCATGGATAACAAATGCTGCGAAATCAGTTAGAAAACTTAATAATCTCCTGCATCTTCATTTACATTTGCTTATATCTTCAATTACATATTAGCTTTACCCTTTTAATTATCTACGAAGATGAGAGAGAGAAAGAGAAATTGTTATTACGCTCTTTCCGGTCAAGCCGCTCTCTGGAGCGGATATCCGAGATGTGTTGCACGTTTCCAGGAATAACTCGAGATCAAGTTAAGAGAAAATCAATCAGCCGTCTTGCAAACTTCGTTAAAAGTTTTCGCATGTGTGCGCGACTGCGAGCGTATGCTGTCGGATGTGTTCCTTGAAAATGATGATTTGAAGAAAGTTGAAGAGACCGTACTTTGCGTATAACAGATTGCTGTACAAATCTTTTTGCAGTGCATGTGATTAAATTGTCGCGTCTTTCATGCTTGACATGCAAAGCGTTTGATAATCCCGGATTTTCATATCTCGTAATCTACATAGGCTATATCAGCTCGCTTCGTTGCCCGGTCTCGACGCAACATGCTCGCTACTCTGTGCAAAACAACCTCGGGCTAGTCGCCTCCATAAAGCTGTACAAAGTTTTAATGAAGGCCATTTCGAATGGCTTAGCCGCGCAACAATTTTTCATTTGTGTCGCACACATAAAAGCACACGCTTCTAGCCATCTATCTGAAAGATCAGTACCAAATTTTAAAAATTAAAATTTAATATAATCGTATCATATCTCAAGTGACTTGTGGTGTAGGATAAAAAAATTATGGAGTAAATTACTAATAAAAAAATAAGTACAAATTAAATTATTATATATACTTCATTTTTAGTTAATATTTTATATCTATATATTTAAGTATCATATAAAACACTGTTGTTTTTTATAATACCATAAAAGACCTACGTTAAAAGACCTGCGTTAAAAGAGTGGCTGGATGTTTTATTAAGCACTTTAATATTTTTCACCCAGCAATACTTCAATAAGCTACAGAGCAACTTGCATAATAGATGCTTAGCATCGAGATATTAATCGCTAGTTATTGAACCGTAATCGAAGTGCGAGATCAAAATATTAAAATAATTAATCGAAATATAATTGGCCACCAAGGACTTGTTTCCTTCCTCTCAACTCGAGATTCTCTCATGCGACGCGCGGAATATGTGCTGTCGAAAACTAGTGTAAAAGATGGAACGCCGTACAGTGGTCTCCAGAGAGGGACGCAGAGAAACCTCGATATTTACACGTCAGGGGTTGCCATCCCCGTAAAGTACCCAGCGGGGTGCCGCGTGCCAGGAGTGTCTCTTTATTGGATAATAAATAACCTGTTTCATTTATAAGAAGGAGATAAAGTGTGGTAGACTATGTTCCCCAGATAGATCCTTCCTCGCCGACTGCCTTCCCATGCAGCATCATTTCCCGGAAGTTGAAATTGCCAAGTATACCAACTGTACAGCGAGTACTGTCTAACATTTATTTAATACGTCTGACATGACGGAGTTCTTTCCGCTACCAAAAAACGTACAGTAAAAGAGAGAAGATAAATGTTTGAAATATAAATATGTTCGTAAATAAGGTAGAAATTTTTCTTGAATTTACTATGATTTCTCCAACTTAATTATCCGAACTTAATAATCACCCGATAAAAATTATCACAAAAATAAAAATAGAATTTAACTTTAAAGTTGTTGCAGTAATTAAGAATTAATTTAGTCTAGGAAAGTATATTTATTTCCTCATTTTACATATCTGCGTATACATATATACAAGAGAATTATATTTAATTTAGACAGTTAGGAAAGTATTCCGACATCGACTCGTAATTAGCCTCTTCTAAGTAATAACAAGTTAATTGGAATACTTGTTAAAAGGAAGAAACGAAAAGTGTACCCTTCCTGTAATGTTTAAAAACATTAATTTAAAATAGTTTCACAACTCTTTGCTCAAAAGCGAAACAAAAGGAGGAACAATGATCTCGCGCATCGATGCCATAAACTAAATTTAGATTCAAATGCCATATCTACTCGAACGAAGTCGCAACTTACTGTTGGTGTTTCCCGTAAAAGAAAGCTTAACCGCGGATAACCTAAGATGGCTTAGTTCTTGCAAGATTTTCCGTCGTTATTTTCGATAGACTAGTTTTATGGTGGCAGAGCATCGTAAAGTTAAGACAGCGGCGATGCTGGACATTCGAAAATTAAAAGAAGAAGAGAGGTGAAGAAATTGAACAGAAATATATTATATATATTTAATTTTTTGAATATTTTGTCACCATATATTATATGGTTCGTATTACTAAAAATAATTTTCTTACGTTTTCCTTCATGAAAAAATTTAATTACGTATATTCGTATAAACGTCATAATTATAGGATATTAATTCTAAACCGTTGCTACGACTTTGCTATAAATATCTCTTTGCGAACGTGAAACAATGACCGAGTATCGCTGCGTCGCACTGCGAAGAATCGATGAGCAAACTATAGGCTCGCATTGCTCACACGTCGGAAACGTTGGTGGATAAATTGACCGCATGGCTTCCCCCTTTTCATAGCACCCTCCACACTGCGGGTTCATTGTGTACATGTACGTTTCACGTTGGTTCAATACGTTTCGATCGATTCGATAGATTGTGCTATGTTTCACGCGAGGAAGATAATTACACATGTAATATGTATGTCGAAAAAGTAATAATGCCGGTAACATTTTTCGTAATACTCTCTAGAATAATGAGGTAATAACAGTCACAGTCAAGAGCGTAGAATACTTTTACAGGTCTTAAGACAATATCGCTATTTTAGCTGAACGTCATAAATACGCACGGGCTTCATCCGCGTGGAGCA